TAAACCCGAAACCCGAAACCCGAAACCCTAAACGCCCAACACCGTAAACCTGAAAAGCCAAAGCGCCTCTTCTGAAGTGGCGCCGCTCTCTTGGGACTTTGCGCCGCGGGCCATCTGGCAGATGCACGGTGGTTTAGGGTTTAGGGTTTAGGGTTAGAATACCCCCAAGAATACATTCCAGGTCGAGATGCGCGCTCCAGAACCATAGTCGGCTGAGAGAAAGTGAATGGACATCGCCACGGATCACAAGAGCAGCTCTGCACCCTGTAAACCTTGAACCCAACTGTCACAGCATTTGGTCTTTGGTACTCAAGTACATATGGCAAACAACGCTTTTATTTCTGCATCTTTTTGCAACTCAAATCACGAAACTTTCAGTTGATGTAGCTCGAATGGAAACAGGGCCCTATATGAGTTCTATATGTCAATGCTAAGCTGTCTACCCAATCCATCCCTACGAGTGAATTGCTCTCTCCCCTGAGCTCCTGGACATGCGATTCCTGCAGGAGAGGGGGGTTTGGGGGGGTTTCTCGCAGAACTCCTCGAAGCCCATTCTGATGAATAGACATGCTCGCGGGCAGTCTCTTCAAGAGCTTGCGCAAGGGTGCTATGAAGTAAGGGACCTTGTCCCCCCTGTGCCCAGGGCCGGCTGTCAAAGCTGCGCCAAATTACACCATCCGACTAGCATCCTGCAACGTACAATGGCTCCTACAGAACCGTGACATCACTCTGCAGGAGTTTTTGGACTCGACTCAGATGGAAAGGAAACCTTCTCTCGTCTCTCCGAAACCCATGAATGCCCAATAAAAAACCTAAAACACCCTAAGTCTGCTGTTTGGGGGATTAGGGTTCAACCTCAAAAGCCGGCCACCCCCAAGCCCTAAATCTTTGTGTGGACACATGGTCCCTTTATAATATGGGCCCTTCAATGGGGACCGCTTACATACCCCTCTTCTACCCTATACAACCCAAGGGCCCATACTCCAGAACCCTTTAACGGCGGTAAAGGACCATATTCAGGGCCCATGTAACTTCCCTAACCCTAAACCCTAAACCCTAAACCCTAAACCCTAAACCCTCAGAGAGGGGGTAACTGCTGCCAGCCAGGCGGAAGTGAGAGCCGCAGCAGCTCCTGCGGCCACTACCCGACGATCGTCACAGCTTGGGGGCTCGCTGGGGTTGCAGAGGCTCAGGCCTTACAGACAGGGGTTAGGGTTTAGGGTTTAGGGTTTAGGGTTTAGGGTTTAGGGTTTAGGGTTTAGGGTTTAGGGTTTAGGGTTTAGGGTTTAGGGTTTAGGGTTTAGGGTTTAGGGTTTAGGGTTTAGGGTTTAGGGTTTAGGGTTTAGGGGGGGGCACTTTGTGTCGTGCATCCTAGCCGGCTTGTTCAACAACAGCAGCAGTACTCGTATGCAGAAAGGCGGAGTACGACTACAACCTCGACAGGGCAACCTTTGCGCGGATCCTTTGGTAGCCCAGTGACCATACTATCATGAGGGCACCCTTTTGGAGGTTGGTTACTTGCGTAGGGACCTTGAACCAAAAAAAGGGAAGAGGGTACCACTGGGCTACCAAGATCCTACATCTATAGGGGGCTCTGTCCTTCAAAGTCGTGTAAGTTGTAGTCTGGGAGAACGGGCGAACGACTATGAAAAAAAACGAGATGAACGCCCTCGGTTCAAGAGGGAACCTGACCCCGTCACAGACAAGAAAGAGGGGGAGCAACTGCAATTTCCTGCAATCGACCCTAAGCCCTGAAAACCCTCCACCTTTTTTCTGTAGGCTCTTATGATACAATCCCTTCTAGGAGTGCCCTTTTGGGTTTTGAGAAAACCCTCTACCTAAACCCTAAACCCTTTATGGGATTCTTGGGGTTTGGGGTTTGGGGTGTGGGGTGTGGGGTCTAAAGTGCTGGTGAAGGGACCGGGTCTTCGTTCTGAGCGAAGAGAAGGCTACATGCGATCCCGCGCCCAGCCAGTGGACAGGTGGCTCCTGCTGCCATTCCTCCAGCTACTTTGGACGCCGAGCTCTTCGCGCGTCCTTGGCACAAAGCCCTCACCCCAAATCCTTAATCGCCCTAAGCCCTGAATGCCATGGCCGGTCATATCCCCTGAATCCAGTACCCCGAGGTGACCCCCGCAGCTCCCCCTTCATCATTATTGAAGTCAAAGCTCGGGGTTTTGTTTTTTTTGGATCATCATGCAAGCCCAGGTTCGTGGAGCTTGAGGGGTATTGGCTTTCACGAGTTGTTGTGGGTTTGGGGCAAGAGAGAGAGGCAAAGGGCCCCGTCAACATATGTTTCACCATGGTATATCCTCACCCCCCCACCCCCCCCACCCCCTCCCCTTGCCTACGACTACTGCTGTGCCCACCGCCCAGATGTTCCTCGCAGCGTTCACCCTCCGAAGATCTAGACTCCAAACCCTAAACCCTAAACCCAAAGCAACCACCCAAGGGGTTGCAAAATTCGAAGGGTGGTGGTGCTTGATGTCACAGCATGTACAGTTTTATGGAACCCCTAAACCCTAAACCCTAAACCCTAAACCCTAAACCCTAAACCCTAAACCCTAAACCCTAAACCCTAAACCCTAAACCCTAAACCCAAACCCTAAACCCTAAACCCTAAACCCTAAACCCCAAACCCCAAACCCTAAACCCTAAACCCTAAACCCTAAACCCTAAACCCTAAGCAAGCCAAGAACTTGTACAAGATGCGGCGTTGCAGGGCTTAGTGCATAAGGTTTAGGCGAAACCATGGCCCGAAACCCTTGGAACTCTACACTCCCAATGGCTCCCGAAACCTTCAAGTTTAGGGTTTAGGGTTTAGGGCTTAGGGCTCTTAGGGCTTCAGGTATCGCCTACAGGGTTTCAGAGGCCAGAGCGTTCGCTGCGACAGCGGTTGCTGCATGTCTGTACCTGTCGGTAGAGATCACCGGATCGGCGTTGGGACTTAGAAAGGTCTGTATTGACCGGCAGATCTCAGGAATGGGTACCCCCCCCCCCCCCCACCGCCTTCAAAGAGAAGAAGGAGAAAACAAAGCCGAAACCTACATTCTGACACCTGATATCCTGTAATTCTTAAACTCTATCCTGAAACTTACATCCTGAACCCTGCCAGCCTTCTAAGCACTTACAAAACTTTATAAGCACTATCATAAGCCCTAGCCCCTACAAAGGAATCCGGTTCCTAGCGTGTACAACCACGATGAGCCAGCTTCTCGTTGCGAACAGTTTTAAGATCTAGAGTAACCTGCTAGCCCAACAACCATATCATAAACCCTAAACCCTAAACCCTTTGTTGGGGTTGGGTACTTTAGAAGGGATCTAGATGTGCAAAAAGTGCATCACTGGGCTACGAAGCTTAAAGGGACAGGGTTGACCCTACACCCTAAACCCTAAACCCCAAACCCCCTAAACCCTAAACCCCCTAAACCCTAAACCCTACGATAGGTGTAAGTCTTCACGCCGCAGTCCACCACTAGGCTGCCCAGTAACCAATTTCGCTTAAAGGGGGGTGTAGAAGGGAACCGAACCCCCCCGCCCGAAAGAAAAAAACCAAAAATGTGTATGCATAAATATACACACGTATACATATATATTTATATATATATGTATAGAGTAACAACAATAATAATAGTAAATAGAAAACAAATAAATAAATAAATATATATATATACATATATATAACGAATAAACGAATAAATAAACAGTCATAATGAAAAAAACGATAAATCACAAAAAATGACTGAGGGTACTACTGGGCTGGGCTACCAAGCCACCAGGTACACAGACCTCAGGGTTTGGGTTTTGGGAGCCGAGATTGGAGTTTCTGACGTGTTTTGTCTGGCCTTGGGGACCATACTGTTAGGGTTTAGGGTTTAGGTTTAGGGTTTAGGGAGGTTGATAAGGTTGAGCTCTTGCGGTACTTAGGTGCAGGATTATGAGGTTCAGGGCCCTACAACCTCAAACCCTGAACCGTTAAAGCTCACGAAGCACATAGTCCAACCCCTAGCCCTAACCCACTCGCCTCCCTGGGGTACAAGATCTGCCTGCAAACCTCTCAGCTCCATTTTCTGTTGGGATATGAAGGTAGGTAACGAGTCAATTGAGGGGTGAGGGCCTTAGGGGTACATCTTTTCGCAACCAAGTCCAGTGAGAATTGACAATGGGGTTGGGACTTTTCCATACTGCTGCAGCCTTGATTCTGCTCAGGCTATCTGAGAAGGCCCCAATTGGGGTCAGAATCAGAAGCATTCAGAAGGCTCGCCGTTATCTGCATCGCTCGGCGGAAAAATGCAAACGCACGGGTGGGCAGGGGGGTGGCGGGGGTTGGAGTGACAAAGGGGCGAATCACATCGGGTACCCAGATCCATGTACAGGAAACTCAAAAAACTCGCCCAAGTGAGAGAACATTGGGATTACAAGCAGGCCCGCCGTCCCCCGCCTCCACCCAGCTAGAAGTAGGGGCAGAAGGGCCCTTGAAGAGTAGGCTTAGGTTTAGGGTTAAAATTAAATAATAAATTAGGTTTCCGGGCCCTTCGCTAGATTTGGCATATAACGGGGCTTAAGAATTGGGGCCCCTCTATTTTTCATTTTTGGACCACCAAGGTTCTAGGGTGAGACGGCGAAGCTTGCGAGGTGCCAAACTTGTTAGCACCCTGACTTTCAACGGACTAGATGGCGGTTGACCCTAAACCCTAAACCCTTTTTACCCTACGCCCCTGAGCCCCCCAACCCCAAACCCCTCAAACCTTATGCCTACTGCTTCCAATGGCATCCTACAGCCTTTGCATGCGTTTAGAGTGTAGGGTTGAGGGCTTAGGTTTGAGGGTTCATGCTGAGACGCCGGCCCGCCGGCAAGCATTATGCACTTGAAGGCTCATGGGTATATGGGTGGTTGTCAACATTATGATCCCTTTTGGGGTACCCTAATAAATACTAGGTGCCGTCTCATAATAGGGATCCACAAAGGGACCACAATTTTGACAGCCGCCCATATGGCATTACAGCTCTACTGAGTCTTCTGGCACTTGGTATTGCCGTGCCGGACCAACTTCATCTGCAGAGCCGTAGCCGATAGGCCCAAGTGACTCCAAACCCTGAAAACCGTGCATTGCTTCAAAGTTCTTTTCTTGAATGCGAAGAATCATCCACACACCACCGGCGAGTAGGATCGAAATACTCCCAAACGTGTGAAGCGGCAAATGTTGCAAGAACTGACCGCCAATTGACATGGCCGAAAGGAGCAGCGAGACCAGGAACGATTTGAAATGATCCAGGCACTGCGGCTTCAACTGCCGGCGAGAATGCCGTGCCATAAGCAGCGTAAACGCGAAGATCAGGGGAAAGGTCACCAGCCACCACACCAATCCGTACCCCAGATACATGGCAGCCTTGTCCCAGAGACCGAGTCGGGCGCGTGCTGCTGCAATGTCCAGGAATCCCCAGAACAGAGGAGCAGAGCCCACGAGTAACCATCTGTATGGAAACAGCAATCCTGGAGCCAGACCCGAAGTCAAATCTGAAGTGAACAGCAATGCCCTTACCTGCACTAGACGATTCCGTAAAGCCCCGGCATGGGCCTTAAATGCAATGAAACCCTAGACCCTAGACCCTAAACCGTAAACTTCTAAACCCTAAACCCTAAACCCTAAGCCCTAAGCCCTAAGCCCTAAGCCCTAAGCCCTAAGCCCTAAACCCTAAACCCTAAACCCTAAACCCTAAACCCTAAACCCTAAACCCTAAACCCTAAACCCTAAACCCTAAACCCTAAACCCTAAACCCCAAGTCAAGAGGGATCTAGAGTCCACCCAGCTGGCGATAGAGCAGGTGCTTGACGCCGGACTTCACCACTTCTTCGAACTTCTGCGCAGATCCAAACCAGTTCCGCACACACTGCAAGACCACCTTTGGGGACGAATCGCAAAGAAGCTGCTATGGTTTAGGGTTTAGGGTTTAGGGTTTAGGGTTTAGGGTTTAGGGTTTAGGGTTTAGGGTTTAGGGTTTAGGGTTTAGGGTTTAGGGTTTAGGGTTAGGTTTAGGGTTTAGGGTTTAGGGTTTAGGGTTTAGGGTTTAGGGTTTAGGGTTTAGGGTTTAGGGTTTAGGGTTTAGGGTTTAGGGTTTAGGGTTTAGGGTTTAGGGTTTAGGGTTTAGGGTTTAGGGTTTAGGGTTTAGATTTTAGATTTTAGGGTTTAGGGCTTGTTTGCAGTGCTCTTTAGGGCGCAGGGATTGACTTCTAGGGTTCTTGCACCCGGGAGGGATCTGGACCTCGCGGTCACAAAGCCTGTTGCCACTCGTGTGCCCCACATCGCAGCAATTGCAGCGTGCATCCCGAACTGTGAACTCGCCGAGTTGCTCGAGCATTCTCTCAGTGTCGCGATAGTGCGTGCGCAGGACTGCCGCTGCAAAATGAAGAGGCGCATCGCGCTCCCGTCAACATCGCAACACTCCATGCATCGACAGACTCCATGAAGGTAAACATAACAAAGCTCATCCACATGCCAAAGCCCACGCACAAAATGCATGGGGCCATTACACTTGGCCTCAGAAAAACCTGCCGCCGCTTTGTCGTGGCTCGCCATGTATGCACCCAGTTCTAGCAGGCACCATAAGCGTTGAACGTACGTCGTGTCCCACACGAGAAGAAATGAGCTCGAACGCTTGAGAAACGCGCCGAAGCTCATAATGACGAGAAGAAATGAGCTCGAACGCTTGAGAAACGCGCCGATGCTCATAATGCCTTCTGACTTCAGGTTGGCGTCGGTTTGGTGGATGCAGATTCGATCAAGGAACACGCTGCGCGCGCAGCGCCATGAAAATAGTGTGATAGCAAATGCCAGTCCCCCAAAGATGGCCGACCATGGCGCCAGAACTATCTGGTACTCTTCCTCCTCGTGGTCCAGCAGCAACGCAGGTTGCACCTCTGCCCATTCTCGGACCCCAAGGAGCATGGACAGCAAACAGACGCATGCTGGATCCCAAAGTTCTCCCAGTTGAAGCACAACAAAAGAGGACCCCACACAAACGCCTAAACCCACAGAGGCACAGAATGTAACTCCTACTGCGTCTGGGGCCAGAACCCTCCAACGTGGATCCCAAACCCTGACCCCTAAGCACCCCCAATATAGGGGGTCGGAAGAATCACGAACAGTATTCCCTTTATGGTCCCTCTATAGTCATACAGCAAAAACCCTCAAAGCCCTATTCAAATTCTTAAGGCCCTTATCTAGGCTGCCCAGTAACCTAGGCTTACAAAGGGTGCCCTTTTTTGCTTAAAGGGGTTTATAAGGGAACCTAAACCCCCCCCCCAAAAAAAAAAAAAAAAAAGGGAATAAGGGTACTACTGGGCATCCTAGTTCTACTAAACCCTGCCAAGTCTCCATCCCTGGTAAGATCTCCAGGGTGTGCAGCCAGCACGCCAGAAGCGCCTCAGAAAGCCGGTACAAGTATTGAGGGTTGGGTGAGTTGGGTTTGGGGGAACCCTGAACCCTGAACCCCAAACCCCAAACCCCAAACCCTAAACCCTAAACCCTAAACCCCAACGACCGAGCAGAAGCGGAGTGTTGGGGGCTTGACGGGCTGAGGACTGAAATGCGAAACCCTGCACCTCTTATCACCTGTTTGCTGAAGGGTTGTATGGGCATCCCGGGCTTTTAGGGTACTTGGGTTTAGGGTTTAGGGTTTAGGGTTTAGGGTTTAGGGTTTAGGGTTTAGGGTTTAGGGTTTAGGGTTTAGGGCATCCCGAAGCCCAAGGAATGTACAGAGCCACGGGGCCACGAATGTGCCCAGAACTGTTGCTGCGGCGCCGTTATACAGCAACAGTAAGAGAAGTATCCTTGGTATCGTGTTAGGGTTTAGGGTTTAGGGTTTAGGGTTTAGGGTCTAGGGTTTGGGGTTTAGGGTTTAGGGTTTAGGATGCAAAGTTCTAGGGTTTAGGGTTAGAAAGGGCCTAAACCCTACACACTAAACCCGAAGAAGGTTTATACGTCTTCATGGCTTTGGGTTGGGCTTAAAGGTACTTCCCTATTACTAAGAGCTGGAAAGCAAAAACCCTAAACCCTAAACCCTAAACCCTACACACTACACCCTACACCCTACACCCTACACCCTACACCCTACACCCTAAACCCTAAACCCTAAACCCTAAACCCTAAAACTCAGAAACAGGGTCTTCGACCGCCGGTGGCCATGCCAACTGTGGCTCCAGAAGTCTTGGATGGAAGCTGCTGGAAAGCTGCGCCTGGGTTTATCGGGTTTAGGGTTTCGGTTTACAGGGTTTAGGGTTTGGGGTTTAGGGTTTGGGGTTTCAGGATACTCGTAGAACCCGCAGTCCTGCTCGCTGGGTTTGCTCCACAGGGGCCGGCCCCCACACTCCAAGGCTTGGGACGCAGTTGTCGCCCGGAGACAGTCAGGTCTGATTGGCTCCTTGGGCGGTTTAGGGTTTAGGGGTTTAGGGGTTTAGGGTTTAGGGGTTTAGGGTTTAGGGTTTGGGGTTTGGGGTTTGGGGTTTGGGGTTTGGGGTTTGGGGGCTTAAGGGCTTAGGGGTTTGCGGTTGGGGCTTGAGGGGCAGCAGCAGTGAAACGGCAGTGAAACTCACAGCGAGCCATGGTTCTCCCAGGGAATCGAACCGTGAAATTCAGCTGCTTCCAGCTGCTTCAGCTTTGCCAACCCTAAACCCTAAACCCTGAGGTTGAGAGGGAACTTGACTGACGGAGAGAAAATAAGGTACAATTTTCAGGCCGCAAAAGCGCAACACCCTATGCCCTACTCTAGTGTACCACCCTTGGTAGCACCCGCTATGCTTTGAATCCAGCTTCCCTCTTGTGCTAGCCGAAGCCAGGATATGCTGCATCCCCCAAGAGGGTCAGGAAAATTCAGGATGTCACCAGAAGGGCTTTGGCTAGAATACTCTATACTACACGATACTGTAGCACAGTAAGGGGGTATGATGCCTCGACAAGAGGAGGCCAGAGTCTTGTTGGGGGCTCATGATACTCCAGCCTCAAAACCTGTAGTATCACAATATCGCAGGTCGCGTAGCTTGAGAGGATAAACCGCAGTGCAGAGTGCAGAACTCTGGCTCGGGGATGCTTCTAGGACCGAGACTCCATGGTCAACACCACGTCAACCATGCGTCTCATGAGGGCCTGCTCGTGAGGGCTTGGACGATCCTCTTCGCCACGCCCCATCGTGCGTGGACTTGGTTCGTGTGAAACTGGTACAGCCATATCAGGTTGGGTGACGTTGGCCATGGTGCAGCCGATGGGAATCGGTGCAACGAGCGTCTCAAGCTGTCACTTGAGCCTAGAACTGCAGCGCTTGCGGGTACGTCAGGGCAGTTTGTGCCTGGGCCGGGGGGGGGGGGTCTGTCGACAAGCTCGAACTCTTTGGGGTCCGAACCCTTGCGCTTTGATGAAGCAGCACTGCGGTTCTGCATCCTCCACCCAAAGCTACTGAGCACACCCTAAACCATCAACCCTAAACCCTATAAACCCGCGCACCCCGAACCCTGGAGCCCTCAACGCCTAGAGGCCTGCAACACCTGTGCCCTACGAGAGGGTGGACTCTCAACACAAGGTGGGAAGACCTCATCCCAGCAGCGTTCCCACCTCAGGAAAAGCGGCTGCAGGGTTTGCGGGCAGGGGGAGGGAGATAGGGCGAGATGGAGACAGAAAAAGAAAGAATGAGAGAGACAGAGAGAGAGAGAGAGAGAGAGATATATATATATATGGACACAGCGAGAGACAGAGAGAGAGAGAGAAAACTGACAAATGAAAGTTGATCGAGCGCGGGGTGGACAATCGAGTTTGAGGTTTTGATGTCGAAACACTGAAACCGCAAAACGGCCTCAACCCTAAACACCCTGAGATCCTATAAGCCGTACTTACACACCCCTCTAAGCCCTGCAGCCCTAAAGATTGAAACCTCGAAGCCCGCAAAACCCTCATCACTACAACCCTAAACCCCAAACCCCAAACCCCAAACCCTAAACCCTAAACCCTAAACCCTAAACCCTAAACCCTACAACTCTATTCCCGAATCTCTGAGGGCCATTCTGGACACTCTTACGCTAAACCCTAAACCCTAAACCCGAAACCCGAAACCTTAAACCCGAAACTCTTGGAGGCCCTTGGAGGCCCTGGAGGAATCTTAAAGTTTCAAGTCTTATAACGTTTGCTACAGGAACTGCCCCATGCGAACGGAATCTTCCAGAATGTCGGAAAATATTCGATCAGGCCTTTGGCCCTACAAAGTCCCCACAGAAAGCCTAAACTTGACTTCTAGACAAGTTGCTACCTAAACCCTAAACCCTAAACCCTAAACCCTAAACCCTAAACCCTAAACCCTAAACCCTGAATCCTAAATCCAAAATCCTAAATCCTAAACCCTAAACCCTAAACCCTAAACCCTAACTAATTCTGGACCCGAAGTTGTGGCGACGTGCAAGGCACCGGCTTAGTACACCTCCTGTAACTATAACTGAACTAGGAACCCGAGCAGAAATTATGACTATTAGCTGTGTCTTAGGAATAATGCCCCAAAAAATTGAAAAAAATGTTTCACACCCACTTCGAGCCAGGCTACCACATTCCTAAGCATCCCTAAGTTGAAAGGGTTCAGGCGTATGGCCCTTGGGTTCTAAAAGGGTAATGTAAACCTAGGGTTTAGGGTTTAGGGTTTAGGGTTTAGGGTTTAGGGTTTAGGGTTTAGGGTTGTGAGTACCCTGAGAATTCAGGGTTAGACCCAAGAGTAACCTAGAAATTAGAAGGGGGCCCTTTTTTGTCGGTGTAAGGGGGTTATACGGGAACCAAACTTAAACAACGGGAACAAGGGCCTACTCTGGGTCCTAGAGGGTTGAGGGTACGTACTCGATGTTCAGAAAATCGAAAGATCGTGCGAGGAAGGCTGTTAGACTGGAGCCGATCTTTCCGATCGGGCGCTGCGGCCTAGAATGCTCCCGACGGAAACCGTGGATCCGTGAGCTGGGCTTAAACCCTACACGCAAGCCCTCATCACCCTAAAAGCCCCTGAAGCCCTAAACCCTAGGCCTCAAAATAGAAAAAAACCAACACCCTGAAGCCCTGAACCCGAAACTCCCTCAACCCCTGAAGCCCTACAAGTCCTCAACTCTCAACCTTTGTCTTCCTTGGAGCTGGGGGTTCGTGCTTCTTCCGCCAGGTAAACGGCCGACCGCACACGACACAGTCCTGGAGCTGTTTTAGGGTTTAGGGCTATAAGGCTTTAGGACGTTAGGGTTGGGGGTTTTAGGGAGGGGGCTTTTAGTACTAGGGTGCTTCTACAGGGCTGAGGCTGTTTAAGAAGAGGATTGGGGCTACGCACCAAAGCAACGCTTGACTTGGAGGCTTGCTTTCCGCCACTACCAGAACAACCCCTCTCATTCCTAAATCCTGAGACTCTAGACCCCAAACCTTGAATCCCTGAAACCCTCAATTCTAACCCCAAACCCTGAACCCCTCAACCCCAACAAACCCTGACCAGACGCTGAACATGTGGGGGTTTAGGGTTTAGGGTTCAGCCTACTAGGGGTGCCTTATATATGGGGTGCTTTTTATGAGGGGATCCTACTGTATGTAGGTCGATGTTGGGGGTCCCCTCTAAACCCTAAACCCTAAACCCTAAACCCTAAACGTCCTTCACGGGAAGGTTGTGAGGGTTGCGGAAAGGAGCTCCCCCAGTCATCTTGCTCCTGAAGTGTCAAATGGCGCAGCGATTTGGGCTACAGGGAGTGCCTCAGGGTTTAGGGTTTCTGTCTAGGGTTTAGGGTTACCTAATCAATTGAACCCTGAACCCTAAATCTACACTAAACCCTAAACCCTAAACGCGCAAAGGCCTGGGATCTCAGGGCGAATATGGCGGGCCCTTCATAGTTCACTATGAAGGGCTGAGGGGGCGCACTTCGTGGCGCACATCTTCTCTGGGACCCACCGTC